TAAGTGAACTCAAACTTTCTGTCTAAACAGCCACTCGCTTTTCGTACACACAGCACTATTTCATATTCACCATGAACACTCAAATTATACAATGGAACGTCAGGGGCCTTCTCAGAAACCTTGACGACATCCAAGAACTCTTACACGAACACTCACCAAAAGTGCTGTGTGTACAAGAAACACACCTTAATTCAAAACACACAAATTTTCTTCGTAAATACGTTATTTTCCGAAAGGACCGTGTTGATGCCATGACATCATCCGGAGGTGTTGCCATTATGGTGAATCAAAAAATAGCATGCACACACTTACAACTCCAAACATCCCTAGAGGCAGTGGCTGTTCGAGCGGTTCTTTTTGATAAACTGATCACAATCTGCACTATTTACATTCCTCCTAGCTATCAGCTGCAAAAACGCGATTTACACTCACTAATTGATGAACTTCCGGAGCCTTATGTTCTCCTTGGAGACTTTAATGCGCATAGCAGGCTATGGGGTGACTCTCGGTATGACGCACGAGGTCGACTGATCGAACAGGTCTCTATCTCATCGAGCGGGTGTCTCCTAAATTGAAAAGAACCAACCTATTATAACCTCGCTAATAACACCTACTCCTCCATAGACCTGAGCATAGTATCTCCATCTCTTGTGCCTCTACTCCAGTGGAAAGTCGTCAGTAATCTGTACGGAAGTGACCACTTCCCCGTAGTTTTGAGCACAACGACAGTAACTGAGCGTCCACTACGTGTTCCCAAGTGGCTCATAAACAGAGCAGACTGAGAACAGTTTTATACTATCGCTTGACTAGGTTGGAATGACATCTGTACTTTGAACATTGATGTTGCTGTGAACTACTTCACAGCGTTTTTGATTGATGCTGCAACAAAATGCATCCCACAAACAAATGGACACTCTGGAAAACGACGTGTGCCATGGTAGAACTCTGAATGCCGCAACGCGCGCAAACAGAAAAACAAAGCTTGGAGGCTGCTTAGGAACTCACTGACAGCCGAAAATCTTGAAACCTTCAAGAAAATAAAGTCTCAAGGCAGAAGAACGCGTTGGCAGGCCAGAAGAGAAAGCTGCCAGAAGTTTTTATCAGGGGTTAATTCATACACACAGGAGGCTAAAGTCTGGAACATGGTCGGTAGGATAGCAGGAAAACAAGTACACACACTTCCCCTCGTAAACACTCAGGGTGATACCTTGGAAGATCAGGCAAACTTCCTCGGTGCACACTTCGAACAGGTATCCAGCTCGTCCCACTATACTGACACTTTCCAAAAATACAGAACAAGAATAGAAAAGCATAAACTCGAACACAAATCCACTAGATACGAGGCATATAACCAAGCTTTCAGTCTACCTGAGCTCCGAACATCTCTAAACTCCTGCAGTACTTCTGCCCCGGGTTCTGACCGTGTGATGTATGAAATGTTAAAAAACCTACCAAACGAAACCCGAAAAACCTTACTTTGTTTGTACAATGCTATTTGGTCTTCTGGCACTATCACTACCTCCTGGAAAGAGGCTATTGTTATTCTCATTTTGAAAGAGGGCAAGGACGCTTCTTTAGCTTCGAGTTATAGGCCTATTGCACTTACAAGCTGCTTGTGCAAAGTCTTCGAAAAAATGATAAACTGCCGACTTGTACACTTTCTTGAAACAAACAATTTGCTCGACCAATTTCAGTGCGGGTTTCGAGAGAGTAGATCCGCGACAGACCACCTTGTTCGTGTCGAGGCACAGATCAGAGACGCCTTCGTCCATAAACAATATTTTCTCTCTGTGTTCCTCGATATCGAAAAGGCTTATGATACAACATGGCGTTTTGGAATTATAAGAGACCTATCCCACCTTGGCATGCGCGGAAGAATGTTTCACATAATCGAAAGTTACCTGTCAAACCGGACATTCCGTGTCCGAGTGGGCACGGTTCATTCCCAAACATTTGTCCAGGAAACAGGCGTGCCACAAGGTGGTGTACTTAGCTGCACACTTTTTCTCATAAAAATGAATTTCTTGCGCTTGACCATCCCTCGCAATATGTTTTATTGTACATATGTCGATGACGTCCAGCTTGGCTTTAGGTCTTGCAATCTGGCAATGTGTGAGCGGCAGGTTCAGTTAGGTTTAAACAAGCTCTCCGAATTGGCAGAGGAAAACGGATTCCGACTGAACACACAAAAAACCACGTGTGTCCTGTTCTTCAGAAAGAGAGGCATGCACTCAGAACCCGACATTGAACTGAACGATCAACGTCTGTATGTTAATACGGAGCATAAATTCTTAGGATTAATCTTGGACAACAAGTTGACCTTCGCACCGCACATCAAGTATCTAAAAACAAAATGTTTAAAAGCCAGGAATGTTTTAAAAGTGTTGTCACGTACTAGGTGGGGTAGTGACAGGCAATGTCTCATGAACCTATATGAAGCCTCATTCGCACCCGCTTAGATTATGGGGCCGTTGCTTATCAGTCTGCGACTCAAAGTGCTTTGAAGATGCTGGACACCGTGCACCATTTGGGCATCCGCCTTTCTACGGGTGCTTTTCGCACCAGCCTCGTAGAAAGCCTTTATGTTGAGTCAAATGAGTGGTCGCTTCATCTGCAGAGAACTTACATGTCCTTTGTTTATTACCTTAAGGTGAAAGCAGACAAGAAGCACCACTCATACTCTACTATTAATGATTTGTCGAGCTCAATTTTGTTTCAAAACAGGCCTTCGATGAGGCAGCCCTTCTCAATTCGCCTGAAGAGTCTAGCCGAGGAAACTGGAGTCTCACTAGAACACAGTTTAATGGCTCCTGTAGCATATCCGCCATCGTGGCAATGGCACCCTATAGACTGCGATGTGTCTTTCCTAGAAGTTACAAAACACGCGCCTATTGCCCATATCCGAACATACTTCCTGGAACTTCAACACAAATACACACGTCCTGAGTTCTTTACAGATGCCTCCAAGTCTAACTCCTCTGTGTCCTACGCTGCTGTCGGTCCATCCTTTTCGGATGCTGGCCCTCTACATCCAGGCACAAGTATCTTCACAGCAGAAGCTTATGCGATACTTGTGGCGACTAAACACATCAAGCAATTACAAATACAAAAAGCAGTAATTTATACAGACTCCCTCAGTGTAGTAACGGCTTTGCACACTCTTAAAAAACACAAAAACCCAGTCATTGTCTCACTTTACTCCATTTTATGCACACTCTACACACTCAAACAACATGTTGTAGTGTGCTGGGTGCCAGGGCACCGTGAGATTCAAGGCAACGTGAGGGCGGATCAGCTCGCTGCATCCGTCCACAAAAGCACTGCCCCTACACCCATATCAGTCCCGGCCCTTGATCTTAAGCCATCTCTCAAACGAAACCTCAGAGTATACTGGCAGAGCAAGTGGGATACACACACACAAAACAAACTACACGTTATTAAGCCACACCTTGGTCATTGGCTGCCCGTATCGAAATCGCGTCATACAGAGGTAATACTAACGAGACTCAGGATAGGACACACATACACGACACACACACACCTTTTGTCCGGTGGCGATCCACCATTGTGTGACAGATGTGGTGAAGTATTGACTGTCCTTCACATTTTAATTGAGTGCAAACAATTGGACACTATAAGAAAACAGCACTTTCCATTACCCTACCGACAACATATACCTTTACACCCTGCAATGTTCGTCGGTAGTGAACCGCTTTTTAGTTATAAATCATTGCTAGCGTTTTTAAAAGAAATTCGTAGTTTTCATATCATATACCCGGGCATCCCGTAGTATGACCTCTCCAGAGAGGTTTTTGCTGCGGTGGTTACACAAGAAAGCCCTTGCCTCACGGCCCTTGGACGCAAGGGTATGAACGAGTGAGGCACTTGTGCTAATGCCATACATATCCACCATCGTCTTTTATTATCACCAACTTTTGTCATCTATTCACACCACACACACCTTTCACGGCATGGTCATGATTTTATTACTTGTATGTTTTTACCCGCCTTACCGCGAGGAGTTTTATGGCCCTTATACAGCCGCTTATCACAATCATTGTCCATTTTTTAGTAAGATGAACTGGCGCTCTTTGGCCGTGAAATGGCCCTTGCGCCATAAAACATCAAACATCATCATCAGTTCGCCCTAACTGGGCTGGGCATAGTGGTTGACGAATCATTCATTGACTACGGGCATTTTAATACTGTTTGTTACGCGTTTTCAAATCTTTTAAATGTGCCGTATTTCAACAAGAAAACCATTGCTTTTGGAACCAGCGTAACCGCAATAATAATAAGTTTATTTCAGCATCAACAACAAAGTAAGCAACACTGCTGATAGTACGATGGCTAGCAAAAAGCCTCTAACGGCTTGACAAAGGCCAGTGCCCCCCGTTTACAAAACTATACAAGGAAAAAAAACAACAGTGGACAACAATTTAGGTGCTAGTATGGAAAGGCCTCTAAACATAGCGACGGCTTATAGGTACACTTGTCAAATTACCTTTGCAAGACAGAACAAATATAATGTGGGCTGAAGTCGCCCTTGCTTCTTTAGTTATGGAAGCGCATTTAATTGTTTAGCTTATAATATTAGCAGAGGAGTTAAGAGCCTGTGGCAGCAAGTACACAAATATTTGGCAGCCATAAATAGTAAGAGCGTAGGGGATTTTCCACGTGTGACTGCTTCGTGTAGTGTATTGCGTAAGCAAGTTGTTTCAAATAACTCATTTGTTTTGGATCCTTTCAGGAGAAAGTGCTGGGAGGTGCACACAGACACCACCAATGGGATGCGCATCGGCCGCTCTGAGAGTGAGACGGCGATTTCCACCGCTGGCGAGAAGAAGTGGGCCTGACTACCTTCAACCAGGGCCGTCGATGAGGCATTCTCACAGGCCCCTAACAATGACTAGGCCCCCCACTCAATCGACTCCATCACTTGGGGCGAAAAAACCTACCAGAAGACCCATATTACCGACATTGCCCATAAACTTCAATTATGAGATTGATGCATATTATTATGACAGCGCGACCCGGACTTGCAAGCCCTACAAGTTTTGTGGGCCACAGTCAGCGCCACAAGGCACCAATTTCTTCACGACCATGACGGATTGCATCATGGAATGCGAGTAAGCATGATTCTATCTGCCCGGGAATGTTCTGCGCGAGATATGAATGCGACGTACAAGCCAGGCTTGCTCATTCGGTATCGTAAATAGCTATTTGCTGCCACAAATATTAGGCGTTGCGTTTCGCTTGCAACTACTGCCACCTATTTACAGTGAATGTAAATAACTCTTTGACAGGGACACAACACGGAGATGTCTTGCTGAAGAATGCACTCCAAATTTATATTCACGTATGCACAGGGTGGTGCTCCCCTAAAATACTCAATGTGTTCAATTATGGCGTCACAGCCGTAGAGGTAGCTCAATAACTAGACTAGGCCTGCTTGATATATTCACCGAGACAAGTGAAATAAAAGCCCATCGCACGAGCATACGAGCCCATGTTAGTTTGAGCAATGAAATTGATGATAGATATGTGGGGTGGAACGTAGCAAAACTACCATATAATTATGAGAGACGCCGTAGTGGAGGGCTCCGGAAGTTTCGACCACCTATGGTTCTTTAACGTGCACCAAAATCTGGGCACACTGGCCTAGAGAATTTTCGTCTCCATCGAAAATGCAGCCTCCACAGCCGGGATTTCATCCCGTGACATGTGGGTCAGCAGCCGAGTATCTTAGCCACTAGACCACAGCGGCGAGGCTTGAGCAATGAAATTCAATCTAAAAATGGAGCACGTTCGATTGCGGCAAGCATACCTTAATGGTGAAGCCACATAACGTTAGACGCACGTCACAGCAGAAGAGACGTCTTCCATAGGCGCTTTTGGCTGGCCGATTCTGCGGCCCATTCCTCGTTCAGCCCAAGCGATAAACGTTGATCGATATCTGAAGTTTAACGTCCCAAAACCACCATAATAGAGACGCCATAGTGGAGGGCTCCGGAAATTTTGCCCTCGTGGGGTTCTTTAACGCACACCCAAATCTGAGCAAATGGGCCTGCAGCATTTCCGCCTCCATCAGAAGTGCAGCCGCCGCAGTCGGGATTCCATCCCGCGACCTGCGTATCAGCAGCCGAGTACCTCAGCCACGATACCACCGTGGCGGGGCGAAACGCTTAACATTACCAGAGCGCTACGCGATTTTACGGTGTTCGCCAAGCGACTTTCGTTCAAGGCAATTCCAATCGCACCGGTGCATGTAAGTAAAAAGTACGTTGAAAACGAAAATAACAATTTACGTATCTTGGAGCAAGATAGGACATCCTGTTTCGAAACAGTGAGAATTGATTGACTGGTTCACGCATGTACATTTTCTTTGTATTTTTGCCGCCTTCACTTAGAGCTGGACTACAATTTAAGCCTTCAAGGCAGCTCAACCGAATTTCAAACACCCTGCGTTGAGGGAACGCGTTCAGTAAACTAAAGATAATTTCTGAATTAGTGTTAAAGTGTCTGTCAAGAACTAAGTTGTTACTATTTACGCGAAATCTCTTTTTAGCGATGGTGTGAGGAGTACTTTTGACGTAAGTACCAAAGATGCAGCTCTAGGCGCTTCTTCATGTCCCGAAGTGTCAACTCTCAATCGTTTCGTAGTGTGTCACTGCACATGCGCGGATTTTTGGAGGGATTCGCTGCAACGACTACTCGGAGAAGGCACCTATCCTCGTGCATCCCGAAGTGCTGTCAGGTCTTGTGTGTTTGCCTAACAATCGCTGCGTTTTTCGAGGAGCGTGGACTCGCGGCACAAGAGGCTGAGATTTTAGTTGTTTCGCCTCGCGTCACGTGATTCTTCGCTCGCTACAGTCCACGCTGATGGTCCGCTCATGCACGCGCTCAGCGCCTGACCATCTGACGCGTGCGCAGTTGTGTAAACACCAACTTCCTGAGCGAAGCGAGAGGCAAATCGCGGTCAGCTAAAAGCGTTTAATAACCAACTACACGGCAGTTAGATCAAAACAGAAAAGACAATCCCATCAGGCTAGTTGGCGACGTTCGATTACTGTAAGTAGCGGGCCACTTTACGAAGGGCGAATACAAGAACAGCAAACCGCAAGCCTTGGTGGTTTTTTCTTTCTGTATCTATCCTTCGTGAAGTGTTGTGCTACAAAACATCCGGCTGTTGGTTCAGCAACGCCTTGCGTGGAACAGATGGACCAGCTAACTACCACGCCGCAGCTCTAGCGCGTCTTCGTCACATGTTCCCGCTCTTACTTGCGGCCTCTATTCTACATAAAGCATTGTCCTGAACAGGCAATGAAAGGTAAATTGTGCAACCAGTGAGAAATGATGTGCGCTGACGGGCATCAAACATCAATGAGAATAATTATTATGGGAAAAAGGGGTAGGGGGGAGGGGCAACAACGAGCCACATCAGCTGCGGTCACATTGCAGATCTTCTTTCACACAAAAATGATAATTTTGTGAAATTGTGTTCAGCGCTTACTACTTAAGTGTTCTATGAAACTTGGCCTAGAAAACGTTTTAACGCGATAGCCTTAAGGAGCTCGTTTCGCAGAGATGTCGGTGTCGGTGTGTTCGTCGGCGTCCTTTATTATGAGTCAAGATCGAACCAGGCCGCTTGTGTGGCAAGCAGATGTTTTACCACGGCACGAGATTTGTTCACTGTCATGAATGTCATGCAACGGAAGGAGTCTCATAAACGCATCATATGTGCGTTGAAGAAGCGTGTAATCTCGCCAGGCGTCCAGAGATGCTGAATTGTGCCCTGAGTGGGTGTTAGAAAGGCCCGTTCATTACAAAGCGCTGAGACATATTTAGTAATCATCAGCAGGAGAAACACCAAGAAAGCGAACAGCAGCGAACACTTTTGTGCGTGGCCCTACGTACGCTTACGGGGACCTTTGCTGATTCGCAAAAAAAGTAATAATAATGGTGCAGGGGGCACTTGACAACTGTGCTTGCTATAGGAATTCAGTTACACTTTGAAACGGCTAATGTTACGCACCCAGTCATTCGTTTTCTCGCGGCACTGTTGACGATAGTTATAGCACGAGAATAAAACGACGACACATAGACAAGAAGGACACGATGTCTTTCCTGTCTTTATTGTCTTTGTGTCGTCGTTCTGTTCTTGCGCTATAGCTATCGCAATGTCATACCAACTAGCCCAAGCTGCCAGACTTCCAAGGCACTGTTGAGACACGCACCGAGAACCGAAGCAGGAAAGCGATTGAGAATTCGATGAGCACGGCCCGACAACACTGTTATGATTTACTATCGGGCGAAGATCAAGCTCCCTTTAATATTTTATTTGGACCTTATTCGCACAAAAATTGCTGTCGAAAAAAAGGCATTTATTCTCACACATTCCTCTTTCTGACAAGGCTCCCGAAATGATGAGGAAGACGTACTTCTCACAAAATATAAACTATATCGATACGAATGTCGCCTTCCTTGAAAAATTGTTAAAAAACACATAACGTGGTGAACAGGAATAGTAAGCATACATATAATAATTTGTAGTGTACATTGCATATGTTTGGTGTCTTCGAAAGTAATTATCATGTAGCGAACATATTAAAATGTAATATGTTTAAACAAAGCGTCCTAAGAAAACTTGTCAGATGCGAAAAACATTTTGAAATTGAATATTCCGAAATAAGTTTACAATACACTCCAATTATTGACAAAACTTATAATGAATGCGTAAGAAAGGTAATAAAAAAAAGTTCAATCAGCAATGTTTTGCCATAATGTTCTGTGTGATACACCAAACATATACAACTTCATAGAAATGGCAGAGGAGGCTATGGGCCACAGCTGAGTAACTTGGCATAAATTGAGGAGAAATGATGCCTGGTGTCTATCACGTTAATTTTTCTCATTTATTTTCAGAGGGTTTCCAATCGTAAAGACCAACTAAGAAGACGCGTAGCGCGGTCACTGGCATGCATCTCGTTTTCTCCTGTTTGTAGTACATTGTTTGAATTTACGTAACTCTTCAGTGACGCCGACCGAGTGCGAAATTCCCAGTTGAATAAATTCGTTCTCAAATGAAGTTATTCACGTCATTTCCGGGTGGCTCTTGTTCTGCTGCTTATAAAATATTGACGTAAATAAATTCTGTCTGAATTAGGTTCAGTATCTTTAACACTGCAATGTGAGTTTCTTTTTGTTTATCGAACAGTATTATACTGAAACTGGTGTGTGTGGTGCCAAGTGAACGGTTTGTCGCTCGAAAGGCCCACAAAACTTTGGTAAAATTCAGTTCTGTGGTTTCATGCGTAAGACCCTCCATGTGTTTGTGAAGTATGGCGTTGTCTGGGGCTCCGCATAATTACGATTCCTATTGTTTCTTTAAAGAGAACCAAAATATATGTATATGGGGGCTATCTTGGTTTCCCCTCGTTCAAGGGCAGCCGCTGTAGTGGAGAATCGAACAAGCGTTATCTTGTTCACAACTGACGCAACTTGACAAGTTTGAGGAATTATCGCTTCAATGGTGGACGCGCAGAAGTCTGCCTAAATAGGGTTGCATTCCAGAGGGACGCGATGAGCCTGAAGGTTGTTGACGCTGCTGAATTTTGTCCGTCGCGTAGGCTGTCGGCCTCAATGCTTCGGTAATTCGGGGTAAACTGGGAGCTCTCTGGGATTCGCAATTTGTGTCTGCAGCGCAGTGGATCACTAGCAAAGCTGCCACGGCAGGTGAAGATTTTGCAATGTCTGCGAAGGCTGACAACTTCTTCTGGAACAATTGGCATGACCAGAACCGAAAAACTTGGGAACCCTTAAGCTTCTCCTTTCAGAGCAGAGCGCGATAGCGGTATTTCCAATTATGTTCGCTTTGTCTATGACGTGTATGACAGATGCAGTTAGACAGTCTTTTATAAGAGCAGATGGTCATGACCCATTGTTCTTGACGCTTTCGTGTCCTGCATAACCACCACAGCTAATGTGCTTTGCGAGCTGTCTTTAAGTAAATGAATAGTCCCCGCACAGCCAATCACGGCGAGTATTGACGCTCGTGCGATAAGCCTCAAAGTAACAGGGAAACACAACTGATGCATGAAGGTAGCAGCCTAACAGCTGCCGATGGATACATTTGGTCATACGGTCGATGGCCGAAATGAACAATTTAGTTAGGATTTAAATAAATTACTTAAACACTCTTGTGTGAGCACGCCTTCACCCTCCAATGATCAACACTGCGTAGCGGACTTTTCTGGCCCCAAGAGCCAGGTGCTCCGAGGGCTTCTGCTGCATCTCAGCAGATGCCGATAATCCCTCATTGAGAGCCTGCCAAAAAGAGGTTCCTTTAGGGTAAAGTCTGCAAGGCACTTAACAAAGCAATGCAATTAAAAAATAAGCGTTGCAATAGAGACGGGTGTGAGCGAAAATACGAACAGCATGGCATCAGAGGTGAAATTCGACCGGCTGTTTCAGCGTTCAGCTGCGTTGTGGACGAATGACTAAAAAAAATCACGTGATGACGCACCATATGACCCCATGGTGAAGTTACAGGTCGTGAAAATGTATGCCTATTGTGACATCACAGTGGCGTCATGTGTGGTCGCACCTTCGTCCAAAGGGGGTGCGATTGATTGATTGGTATGTGGGGTTGAACGTCCCACTCCACAGACACATATGATTGTGACAGACTCCACAGTGAAGCGCTCCGGAAATTTCGACCACCCGGAGTTGTTCAACGCGCACTCAAATCTGAACACATGAGCCTACAACATTCTCGCCTCCATTATTGCAAAAGGGGGTCCGATTTCTGAGGCAATGTAAAACCAGGCGAGATGCCCTCGACCATTAGAGCAGTGCAAAGCAGTGAAACAGTGCAGAAATTTGTAGAACGGTGGCGGGCCAGAATGTATTGAACAAAACAATATTACGTGGGGTTTTACGACCCAAAACAATGATACGAATATTAGGGACGCCACAGTGGAGGGCCTCGAAAATTTCGATCTTCTCGTGCTCTTTAGCGTGTGCTGAGAACGCACAGCGCACGGGCATATAGCTCTTCCCAAAGGAGATAAACTGCTATTTCGATTTTTCTACCACCCTCCCGATAGTAATAAAAATAGTAGTGATGATATTATAATGTTTTATTTTTGATCAATAGTGTCTGATGAAGGACAGCTGCAGGTAAAAGTTGCCCTCCGAAAGAGGCACCTGGACAATGGCCCAGAGCCACCTTTCAGCACAGCAGCAGTAGCAAACAGTCAGCAGTGGGAACTTACCACCAAAAAATGTCGACTTTCTTTCAATTCTCGCCAGATCACCAATGCTAAGTTAATATTGTAGAGACAATGTACGGGTAGTATTCCAGCCTGTTGAAACAATTCGCTTGTGTGGGCATCATCGGACAGGCTAAAAATCATTCTAACATACTTCTTTTGCATCAGGTACACTTGTGCCGATTTAAAATCTTGCTGTTACATTATTAGTGTACTCTGATAATATCTTTTTGGGTAGTGGTTTTAACCTTTCAGATGCAAAATGAGCTAGTGATGGTGCAATAACCAACGAACAACGAACTACTACAAATTTTCAAGAACTGCTTATATTACAAAATTCCACTAAACTTGTGGTCGTTCCTAGTAGTCAGTTCTATTAGATATTGTCCTTTGGAACAATCCGAGCGTTGCAACCAAAGGGGAAACGCTGCCTTCACTAAGTGATCACGAGGCAATCGTTTTCAGATAAAACTGTTCTGTGGTCCCGATCGCTGTGCATATCCCACGGCCAGTATCCTTATACGAGAAAGGCGACTTCGACGTCACTCAGACAGAATTCTTTACGTGCATGTCAATATTCCCGAGTATGTCCGAAATATGCAGAGCATTCACGGTGCAGCTTTCACCGCAAACTACTATAGAAATATGACCTCACATTATTCCCGGGCCAAAAACAAAACGAAAACGTGCGTGGTTTAATGCAAAAGTGCGCAAATTGGTACGAAAAGTATGAAGTGCGTACCGAAACTGATGCAAAACTACCACTTCACTTGACCGCCTGAATACACATGATGCAACCAGGGCACTCAAGGAAACAAAGTAAAAAGATGTTGCCCAGTAAAAGACAGATCCGAGAAAAAAAACTTAGATCCTTCTACAAAGATTTATTGTTGTGTAGAAATACTGAAACTTTCATTCTAGCTAAAGATTCAATAAATTCAATGGAGCTATACGATAAGAAGTGGCTCTGAAAAGACTGAATGTTTTATGGTTGTTTAAAATTGGCGTGTTCTGACGTAACAAACACTGGTACAGTATGGATTTGCCCTAAGATTAGCGCCTTTGATGGCGTACTAGAAATAATCATACACGTAAACTGTGTAAGCTATCTCTCGCGGGAACAGGACGCCTAAAAATCTATTGGTGCTGATAGCATTCCATCGCACATACTAAAAAAGTCGCATTGTGTTGTAAAAACATCATCTAAGAGTTCTATTTAAAATATCTCATGGCACGCTTCGTGTCACAGGACTAGAAATTGCGGCTGTTGATCTTTGATTTCATTTATTTGATTCGTCACAGTTTAGTGTAACAGGAGGCGGAAGGAAAAGCCGTTATGACGGCTTGAGGGATCCTTCGCCCCCTTCCACTTATCGTATTTTTCAATCAGGAAACAAAAAACTACCAACCTATTTTCTTAATAACAGTAATTTGGAAGTTTTCTCAAGAGATATTATATAGTGAATTATTTAAACATATTGAATCAATGAGCTGGATCACAGCCTCCCAGCCCGGATTTCGTTGTGGTCACTCATGTACTACTCAATTATTTGAATTTTAATAGTATATAGGTAACTCCTTTCACATAAACATGCCAACGCACCATTCCTAGACTTTGGAAAACCGTTTAAAACAGCGTGTCATCTCTTTCTAAATACTAAGAAAAAGCTTTATTAGCGTCCCCATAAGGCACCAATGACGACAGCAAGGAAGTGCTACTCAGTGCATCTGCTGTGCGCTCGCATCCTTGTTGCGCTATTTTTGCATCGCTCCACGACGTATTCCTTCAAAGCTTTTCCCATGTAGTCCTCTCTTCTACTTAACTTGAAAAGTACAGCGCACTGCCTTGTTTTCACATCGTGCTTGACCCCGAATACAAGCAAGCGTAATAATATAGGATATTTTTCCAACCACCGGGGGGAGTTCCGAAAACACCGTTCGTTTTTTAAAAGCCTGAAACGTACGCTTCGTGAGAACGAACACCGTGTATTGCGACACAAATGTAGCCGGAACAGCTGAACTATATTTGAGACCCAGGAGCTGTTTATTTGACAGTCGTTGAGCACGCCTTTGTCTTAGTTGGAAGTAGCTGGTGAGTATAAAGAATTCGGGAGTTACTGGAGAATGCTTTTGAATACCTGGTATTTTTTAAGAGCGCCTTCGTGTTCCGAGAATGTCTTGTAGCGCCTAGCGAAATACGGAATTATGAGGGATTAGACGAAGGAGATAGAGCGCTTACAGCCTGGGTCTTGAAGAACATATTGAAAGTATTGTGTTGTAGCCTTCCACGCCAACGTGACATGCAGAGCATCATCACTCAGTTTCGTTTTCCGAGAACTGTTTTCCGACCTGCTGGCGCCTCTGATTTCCTGTAGGGTAAATGAATTTACTTATTGATCTTGCCCAACCGTTTTAAGGGCAAAGCTCCCTAGTGTCGAGCCATGTCCGCTGTCCATCAGTGTGACACGCCATGGATATCCATATCCATATGGGTATCCACACGAATATCCATATTCATATAGGTATGCATATTCGTATGTACACCCGTATAGACATTCATATGATGGCCCATATGTATATCCCTATTCATGTGTATGCCTAAGGGATATTTATTGTGGGTAAACGTATGAACATACATATGGACATCTAAACACCATATGTTCATGGTGATTACTAAACAACTTTGCGTATGCTGTAAACACGTGTTGTCACGTCTTTGCATGATCGACTGGGCATTGTACGGGAGTTGATAACCCCCCGGAGCTTCACCCGCTCGTCATCATTCACTTTGTAAATATGCTGTAATTTGTTTCATCATC